TCCTCTGGATTGTGTGCAAAGATGGCCGAGTCCAGAGGTGCCAGGTCTGAGCACCCTGTGACCTGGTCCTGGGAGGAGAGCAGCAGATGTGGAAGTTTCTTCTGCCTTTTGAGTCAATTAAAATAGCCTGTAAATCCTAGGTGGTGTTATAGTACATGCTCCCCCTCCTTCTAATAAAGGAAATGATCTCATTCAGGTGACACTTGAAACATCTTCTAGTGCCTCTAAAGAAGGGTGCAGAACTAGTTAATAAATCCAATGCTGGATGGAAATGATGCAAATGTCTGAGTTGTGTTGGAGTAATTTCAAGAGGTGCTCTATCACAACTTTTCTTCACCTATGCTGGTGGATGTCTGAGTTCAGGTATACTTCACCTACTACTTGCAACTGATGCCAATTTTAAGAGGATTAGGTAGTACCCTAGAAGTTTCAAGTGAAATTCAAGACTGTCTCTGCAGCAATGATTAGTCCAGTAAACATTGATTAAGTCAATGCAGGATTTAATCAAAGTGGAACAATGAAATCACATGAAGGAGAGTACAAGGAAAAACATTTAATGGGTTGTGATTGTCTGGAACTAACTAGCTGTGTTGTTGAGGTTACTGTAATGACACCTTCAAGAAACAGCTGTTCAGTTATCAACTATGAGGAGACTTTACATGTCAAATGTTCTCCTGTCATCTGTAATTCTTCCTGCTCTTAATTCTTTCCCTCATGTTTGTAAGCTGAGGGTGAAGGTATCACAGTTCTGTATGTCGATTGTATAAGTACTCAAACGCATGAATTCAATTTATTTGGTAGCAGCTCCCTTCCTAGCAATCATAGCTGCATGTCTCTGTAGTAATGGTGCACATGTCTACAGAAGGATCTGCACTTTATTCTGATGTAGCTTTGGCCTGAAAATATTTCTCTAGTAAGTTCCTGGGTTTTGCTTCATCTGTTTTGCCCTTATGTTTGACAACATACCCGGTGCTTGCTGAGCAGCAATGAGAAGCAGAACAGCAACACTACTGTCTCCTCCATGCTTCACAGTAGGGCTGGGTGATGTGCTGTTTGTTCAGCGTGTTTACACCAAAATGTTCCAATTGTATTTTATTTGTAAAATGTTTTATCATGAAACAAAATATTGCAATTTTTTTGTTTATAAAATACCTTTCTAGACCCAAGGGCACTGTACATAATGATTAAGGAATGATGATTATGAGGGAAAATACAATAAAAAGTAAAACATAAAAACTTCAAGATAAATCGTACGACAATCAAACATTCCCCTAGTAATAAGGTGAGTTTCAGTTTAGATTCAAAAAGAATCCTAGAATTTGTCTCTTGAGGAGTTGGTGGAAGGGAATTCCATAACAATGGAGCAGAGACAGAAAAGACAGTCACTGAGAGTCTGAGATTTAGTCCCAGGTATAGTGAGCAAGGGACCAGGCTCAGCTGAGTGGAGAATATGGTAAGGAGTGTAAATATGAAGGAGTTTGGTTGTTCAGAGCTTTAAAAGTCAGTAAGATCTCATTGAATACATGACTTTATAGGGGAGCAATGTATAGATTTAAGAGTAGGAGTGATACGCTGCCCTGTTCTGGTGTGGGATAGAAGTCCTACAGGTAGCTTCAGACATTTACACATATTGCAACTTACTGAGAAGAATACTAGGAGGCCTATAGAGCACACAGCTGCCTTGATGTTATCAATAAATGAATTGAGCCCTCAGCATCAGACATTTATAGAAATTGCCTGATATGGGGACATTTTTGTAAGTTGAAAAAAGATTTTGAATCAAATTTTTCACATGGGGCTTAAAAGAAAGGAGAGGATTAAGTGTGACTTCCAGATTTCTGCCTGTACCCGATGCCTTCATGGAGAAGCCATCCGCCATTACTGTGAAGCTCCCCAAAGTGTTCCCAGCTGACATTTGCTCCAAACCAGTTACTTTTAAGTTTCAAGGAATTTGCTGTCAGCAAGAGTTTCATGTTACACAGTCAAGAGATAAGTGATGAAGGTGAAAGATCAGAGGGTGAAGAGGTATTAATGGAAATCTGCAAAATGTATTTTCTGCATAACAATGAATCTGAAGACCATGTTTGCGTATGATCTGAGTGAGAAGGGGCATATAGATAATGAAGAGCAATAGGCCCAAGACTGAACCCTGAGGCACACCTCGATTGACTGGGGCCATGAGGGATTTATGAGGACCATGAGAAACAAAATGCTGCCTGCCCGTCAAATGAAAGAGGAACCAGTTAAAAACAGCACATTTGATAGACATGAATGTCTGCAAGCATTTGAGCAAGATTTGAGCACAAAGGGGCACTAATATCAAGGTGCATAAGAATACTGAGAGCCCCTGAGTCAGATGTAGCCAGCAAATCATTCACAACCCTGACAAGATGATGCAGCAGTGTAGCAGTGGTTACTAATCCTGGTTCCTGAAGATCAGTCTATCTGTAGGTTTTATCCCAGATCGACTCTTAACATAAATGAGCTCATCAGTAGTTGAATTGAATTTCATCAACAGCTCCCGTTTCTGAAGACACCTGAAAACCCACAGGTGCATTGGCCCTTCAGGACCAGGATTGGAGATGCTTAACAGGTAGTTTACTCAACTCATAAATGAGGTTAAACATGTAGTTTATAAAGAGAAAAGACTCAGTCTGATGGGTTTCAATTAATTTGCAATGTGATAGAAATTTGACATACTGTAAATATGACATAAATATAGTGTGACCAAAACACCAACAGAATATGACATACTAAGAAAAGATTGTTTTTATATTTCAGTGACCTCTTCAATATTTTCTCAGCAGGGGGCAGCATTTAATAACTGACGAGCATTTCAGCTCCAGGGCAAAATCAGAGCTGAGAGGAGCTCTGTTGCTTTGTGTTTTGAGCCTCTGGCAGTGTGCAGCTCTTGCACTGATTCTTTATGCTAAAGCATAGAAGAATCAGACTAAACCTGAGAATAGTAAAAGCTTCTGAGCTTTGCAGAATACAAAACCCACATTTTTATTGCCGCATTTGATATTATCATTATCTTTCATGGTGTAACTTAAAAATGAAATCTCATCAGTGACTTTAATACAAAAAAAACAGTGTTGTGAGCTGTGCCAAGGCAATGACCAGTGTCGGGTTAGCGTGTTATACTGTATATTACTGTAGAACAAATTTAGCAACTCTATCACTGTGCAACTCACAGCTTGCAGCCCACTGAAGCTCAGCAGGTATGAGCCTGGCCAGTACCTGGATGAGAGACTCCTGGGAAAGCTTAGGTTGCTGCTGGAAGAGGTATTAGTGAGACCAGTAGGGGGCTCTCACTCTGTTGTCTGTGTGGGTCCTAATGCCCCAGTTGTAGCAATGGGGACACAATACTGTAAAAAAAGGTTCTGTCCTTCAAATGAGATGTAAAACAGAGGCCGTGACTCTATGTTTTCATTAAAAATCATAGAGTGTTTCTCAAAATTATTAGGGGTGATACCCTGGTGTCCTGGCTAAATTTCCCCCTGGCACTTATTAATCATGGCCTCCTAATAATTCCCATCTCTGAACTGGCTTCATCACTCTGCTCTCCTCCCCACTGAGAGCTGGTGTGTGTGAGAGGACTGGAGCATCATCCAGGTGGGGCTGCACACTGGTGGTGGTGGAGGGACCCTATTACCTGTAAAGCACTTTGAGTGGAGTGTGCAGAAAAGCACTATATACGTGTAAGAAATTATTATTAATTATTACAACAGTAATAAAATCAGGGGAACACTTATCTGCCACAACCTTAGACCTTTAATTGTGGGAAGTGACTTCTGAAAGAGGTTATGGAATTTAGGGCTGAGTTGGTCATGACACTTCTGCAAAGTATAACCTTGTGTCAGGACCCATTGAAAACAGTTGTTTCACTTGTTTCACTTGTTCAGCTGTTATAGTAAAGGAGTGACACCACTGGGCCCAATTCCATTGTTAAAAATGGCCTCTGCTGGTTCTCTCAAGCTGAGTAAAAGGATAATTCAGTTCATTGAGGTGAGGTGTGTGGCTCAAGCACTGTTTCCATTCACCAATTTCTAATCTCTTTTATCCTGTTTCCATTCTTCCTGTATCTTCCTTGGATTCACTTTCTCCCATAATCGATCATTTCCTTTGAATGTCCACACTTTCTCCAACTGCAATTTTTTAATCATTGACATTACTTTTTACATACATGTAAACTACTTTGAAAAGCCAGGTTGCCTTTCTAAAATGGGAGCAAACTGGTCCCATACAAAAAATCCACATGGAAGACATGCAAGCTCCACACAGCAGGAAATTCAGATGGACATCAACCCCAGGAACTGTGAGGCTGCAGTCCTTAATCCACACCACTGTGCTGTCCAAATGGTCACTCTTGAATTAAGTGCTTTAAGAGCTACAGTATCATTAATTCCCCATTCTGAATGCAGGAACTTGTGCTTTCATAGATTTTAATTATCACTAATCCTCTCCCACATGACATTAACTGAGAAAACAAGACTGGACTTGAAATATTTCAATCTAGGGCCCAGATATTTTCCTCTCAGTGCTCAGAAAAATTTAATCTTTAATCTGGGAGATGAAATCTGAAATGAAAAAAAAATATCTCTGGACAAAGAACAAGAGTAACAAAATATTCAGCTTTGCAATTAAACTTGTTGTCTCGTTATCTAATTCAGTTATTTTTTGCATTAAACAATTACAGAGTTTTTTGTGTGCCAGCTGTCCCTGTGACCACCCCTGACCTGCACTACTGGAGGATGTCACTGCTGATATTAGTACTAATCCAGCTCATGACTATCTGAAGCACTGGGCTTCAATTTCAGTTCTTGTCGCCATGATTCCTAAACCCTGAGGATAAGGTCTATGGAAAGAATATAATTAATGATGTCTTCTGTAATTGATACTTGAGTGATTCAATCAGCAGCTCGTTATGGTTCACAATTTAACACCTGGTTAGACAGCTGTGTGTAGGAGCTGAAGCCCAGCAGTCTTGACTATATAAAGGCCACTGTGGGGGGTTATAGTCTACATGAGGTTTGTGTGCTCACTCATCAACATGGAAGGGAGAGGCTGTGTGTTGTGTTTACTTGTGGGATGTCTTCTAGGTAAGATTTTGATATACTACAAACTAATTAAAAGGAGCAGTATAAGGGCAGGTGCAGGAGGAACAACTACTGTAGGTTTCAGTTTAGCTGATTGGGTCTTGAGTATGGATGCTGCCTAAAAAAATTCCTTTTGTTTATTCTCCTGATGCATTAATGCACTGGCTTGTTTCTCCTGTCCTGTGTCTTTAGTCTATCACTGTTGGATGCTCATGATCCCATGTTGCCTTAAGCCCGGGCTCCTTCCACTTGATCTTGTTGGTGCTCATTGACCCAGTGGTGTCCTCTCTTCCCCAGTGTCTGTGGCTGAAGCCCTGCAGTGTCGGGCTGTGCCTGGCAGTCTGAAGCAGATAGATGCTGGTGCTGGAAGGGTGTGTGGAGTTGACAATGCAGACAACCTGGTCAGCTACCAGGGCAACAGCTGGGTCTCTCTGGCCATGAAGGGGAAACATGTGAGTGTGGGGCCAGCAGGGCTCTGGAGTGTGAGTCTCGCAAGCCTTGTGTTCAAGTGGCTTCGGGGAAGGTGGATCCCAGTGCAACCAGGTGAGGCTACAGTTGATCTAGAGAGGTTGGAAATGGTAGCTTTTGGGTCTCTGCCAGGCTACCTGTCAATGAGTGTTCTGGCTGAAGGCAGCTATTTCACTCCCTTGTAACAGAAATGTGCACTGCACTGCCCCCTGCTGAGAACAGCTGTATTCCTTGCTCTCCTCTGCAGGCTCCCTCATCCAGATTGATGCTGGTGGAGACAAGTTCGTGGTTGGTGTCAATGCTGCCAATTCCATCTTCTGCCTGAACAGCGGGCCTGTGCTGCAGTATGCTGGCCAGGGCAACATCCCCTGGATTCCTGTCGTGGGCTCCCTCAAGTACTATTCCTGTGGGCCTTTTGGCTGCTGGGGAGTGAACAGGTTGGACCAGATCTTTGTCAAGCTGGATGTGAGTGGGGATTCCTGCAAAGGCTCTGACAGGTGGTACCCCATTCAGGGCTCCCTGTCCCTGGTGGAGGTGGGCTCAGATGGCAGTGTGTATGGGGTGAACAGGAATGGAGTGGTCTTCAAGAGGTGAGCTGGTGGAGGGGATAACACATGGGTGCATGAATGACTGTCCTAATTCTAGGCTGATCTAACCCTGTGCCTTTTCCTGCAGGGTTGGTATTGATGCCTGTAACCCCTTTGGCAGTAGATGGTGGGCTCTAAGGGCAGCTGGTGTGGCCAGGCATGTGTCCTATGACCGAGGAATCCTCTGGATTGTGTGCAAAGATGGCCGAGTCCAGAGGTGCCAGGTCTGAGCACCCTGTGACCTGGTCCTGGGAGGAGAGCAGCAGATGTGGAAGCTTCTTCTACCTTCTGAGCCAAATAAAATAGCCTGGAAATCCTAGATGGTGTCTCTGTGTTTTAACTTTGCAAATTGAATGTGGTTCAAGAGCCTCATCTGCAGAGTCTGCTTGTACTTAAAGTAAACTCAAGGCGAGGAGCCTCTGATCTTCAGAAGATGGAGGCAACAGTTACCTATATCTTGGATACTACTTGGACAGCTCTACCATATACTCCCTCATGTAGCTGGAGCCTGTCATATTTATGGGTAACTAACAGGGGTTTTGGGGAACAAGTCTTGCTTGATGCACCTTTGTCCTTCAAGTGTGTGAAACTGGAGTGTATTCAACCTTTTCAAAAGGCTGTGCCTGGGGAAAAACCTGACCCTTCCCTGTTGAATTTGCAATTTGGTTAAGAACTAGTTAAATATGGAACTGTACAGTTTAAGCAGCTCTCCAATCTGGGTGAAGTAACTAAACTTGGATACTGGTGTAGTTCACTTTGCTAAACCTGTAGGTGATGCCAGATTTTGAGGATTAGGTAGCACTGTTGAAGTACCAAATGAAAGTTGGGGGGGGGAATAATTTGAAGAGCACTGTTCCAATGTGAACAGTGAAACATTAAGGAGAGCACAAATCAATATGATTGAATGTTTAGAAGGCTGACCAGATGGAACTAGCTGGTCAATATTCCTCAATTTCTGTTTGGGATCAAAGTCTTATCTGTTTAATGTTAAACTGTGTGTTGATTGTAGGATGGCTGACACATGAATTCACTTTGGATGGAGCTTCTTTGGCCACCTTTACAGCTGCACGTCTGCACTAATGTTTCACTATGTGCCTTTCTCCTTGATTGGCTTTCTTTGTGGTTTACTAATGGGCTGATATTCCTTCTCCATTAGGGTTCACATCCAGACTTTGTCTGGGCCGTGGGAGAACCTGGACTTATTCTCATGCTGTTCTAGAACATTCCCCACACACCAGCTCTCAGGGGGGAGGAGAGCGGAGTGATGTAGCCAGTTTAGAAATGGGGATTATTAGGAGGTCATGATGGGTAAAGGCTAATGGGAAATTAGGCCCAGACACCAGGGTTGCACCCTTTCTTTTCAAGAAATGCTCTGGGATTTTTAATGACCACAGAGAGTCAGGACTCATCCGAAGGACGGTGCATGTTTACAGTATAGTGTCCCTGTCGCTATACTGGGGCATTAGGACCCATACAGACTGCAGGGAGAGTGCCCCCTGCTGGCCCCACTAACACCTCTTCCAGCAGCAGCCTTAGTTCTTCCCAGGAGGTCTCCCATCCAGGTACTGACCAGGCTCATGCCTCCTGAGCATCAGTGGGCTGCCAGTTGTGAGCTGCAGGGTGATATGGCTGCTGGCTAAAAGTATGTCTGAACCCCAGTTATGTCTGACAGAAAATGATTATGAAATACTTTCCTGGATTTTGTTCCATCCAGTTTGCACTCATGTTTGACAACTTGTCCAGTCCCTGCTGAGCAGAAATGAGAAGCAGAACTATAACAATTCTGTTTCCACCATGCTTCACAGTAGGGATTGGGTAAGAAGATGCAGCAATCAGACATAAACCCTAGTAAAAAGTTGAGTTTTGAATTTGAAGAGAGTCAAAGAATTTGTCTGAGGGTCTGAGAAAGGGCAGTCCATAACAGTGGAGCAGCCACAGAAAAGGCACGATCACAAAATACACCAAAATGTAGATAATGTAGTAGAGCAATATGCTGCCAAGTTAGAAGTCTGGTTGCAGAGTTTTGGACACGACTTCCCAAGAAGAGTGTTAGGAAGCTCATAGAGCAAAGAGTTGCAAAAATCAAGCCGTGATAATAATAATTATAATAATTGCTTACACTTATATAGCGCTTTACAGGTAATGGGGATCCCCTCCACCACCACCAGTGGTGATGCGACGGCAGCCATAGTGCGCCAGAACACTCCCCACACACCAGCTATCAGTGAGGAGGAGAGCAGAGTAATGAAGCCAATTCAAAGATGGGGATTATTAGGAGGCCATGATTGATAAGGGCCAATGGGAAATTTGGCCAGGACACCGGGCTTACACCCCTACTCTTTTCGAGAAACGCCCTGGGATTTTTAATGACCACAGAGAGTCAGGACCTTGGTTTTTGTCTCATCCGCAGGACGGTGCCTGTTTACAGTAAAGTGTCCCTGTCATTATACTGGGGCATTAGGACCCACATGGACCGCAGGGTGAGTGCCCCCTGCTGGCCCCACTAACACCTCTGAATGCATGAATCAGGCAATCTGCATTGGACCCCGATAGAAATTGCATTGATAGTAATAATGTGGTCACTATTTGTAAGGTGAAAGCAAGATGTCTTCATCAAATTTTGCATGTCAGGCTTTCTGAAGATACCCAAAAGCCTGCAGGTACACTGGCCCTTTAGGACCAGGATTGGAGATGCTTAGCAGGTAGTTTGCTCAACTCATGAATAAGCCTGTAGATATAGTTTGTAAAGAAAAAGGGATCAGCCTGAAGGGTATTTTAAATAATTTGCAATATTCTGAAAATACATTATTACTTAAAGTGCTCATCGTTGCTGTACGACAACAAAAAACAACAACAGAGGGCGACATACTACAAAAAATTCATGCAATTGATTTTATTATCAGTATTTATCCAGCAGGGGGCGGCATTTCATAACCGATGAGCAGAATTGAACTCCAGGGGGAAATAGGAGCCGAGAGGATCTCTGTTGATTCACATTTTGAGCTTCTAGTAGCGTGCTCGTATTGGTTTACAACAAAATAGTAGAATTCGTCTAAACCCGAGGAAAGTAAAAGCTTCTGAGCTTTGCAAGAATACAAAACACACAACTGATTGTGGCATTTGAAAGAGTCATCATCTTGGCCCTGTTATAACCTAAAGTTTAACAAACTGAGATAAACTGAGAGTTTTCTGTTCTTCCAGGTTTCTGCAAAAAGGGATTTCGTTTGCACCATCTTTCTGGGAGAGAGTAATTAGGTCTTAGTCTGATTAATCAGTGTTATGAGCTGTGCCAGGGCAGTACGCATGTGAAATGTTAATGTGATATATATTTACTATAATATAGTATATTTACTGTATAACAAAACAGTAATAAAACCTGAGGAACATTTATTTTGAATGATAAAAATATTGTGAAATGATAAAGCCCCACTTATCACAAAAAAAGAGCTTTATTATTCTTTCCAATACTTAAATTAAGGGACCGGATCTTCAAAGGCACTGACATTCAGAATCAATAGTGTCACACGACCCAGAGGACATGGGCAGAAGCTATGTGGAAGTGCATTTAAAACTGAGAACAGGAGGCAATTCTTAACGTAGTGAGGAGTATGGAACAAATTACCCAGCTGAGTTGTTAAAGACAAGAGCCCCGGCTACTTTCAAGATACCTCTGGGTGAGATCCTTGAATCAATTAACTAGTAATTGCCAAACGAGCTACAGTACAATTGATGGTACTGGTTGAATGGATGGTTCTCATTTGTGGCTTATCTTATGTTCAAAACGTTTGTATGCAAATTATGTTGGCGCAGGACCGCAGAACTATGGAAACTGGAAGAGATACAGCCTCCAAAACCTCACGAGGTCATGAGATTGCTCCTGCCAGCTGGAATGGGCACAGAGCTGCCCACAGGCCTGTTCCATACTGACTGCAAGAACATACACAGACCGTCAAACAGACACCAGGCCAGCGATCCAGTGATGTTCTTGGCAATACTTCACAGAGCAGGATTCAGTCTGGATGATCTTTGCTGTAGGTTCAATTTAGCAAATTGATAATAAGAAGTTCACATGTTCATCGGACTTTTGATGTTGTTGTCTTCCAGTTTTAAATAGCCCTCCCTGTAGTGTGCTGTCCTGGCCAGTCAGCCCATACTGTGTATCTTTACATGGCTCTGTTTAATGTGTATTAAAACGGGATGACAAATTCATCATGGAAAATATTCAGGAAGGGACGTTTGTGTGGCAAGTATAGTATGCGATTTTAGATTAGCATACTACAGTTTACTCCAGCTACTTTCCAGAGAATTCTGCGACAATACGAGCTGTGATGTAATCACTGTAGTAAAATGATGTGATGATCTAAATTCTGGGGAAAGCTTTCTGGAATGGGACTGGGCTGATAGCACCAAGTGACACGCAGAGTCTATACAGCTTAACAATGTTTTTTTGTGACAGAAAGTCGATTGGCCTGTCAGATGAAATTGTTAGTCCTTGAACCTGTTTTTCAGGGTTTTTAGTTGGTCCAGGCATGAATACTAAACATGATTTTGAATTAAACTGACATTCTGCAAACTTTCATTCAAACTCTTTCCTTAAAATCTTTGTAAAACCAGTATTCGTGCCACGTACTGTATACAGTGTATAAGTCAAGCCTTGAAATTGTTTCTACTTTTTGTCCAATTCAGCGGTCTTTGCGCAATGCTTACTTCATGTTCATTTTACTGGGAGAGTTTTGAATACAAATATTGTCACAAATACAAATATTGTATTATTAAAACAAATGCTTGTTTTGTCAGATCAATGATTCATCTACAAGGCACCACTTGTCTTTGACCTGTGTGTCACAGACGTCTGGAACACAGGCAGGAGTGGTAACAGTGCTTGTCTTTTAGCAGACTGTGCATTAGCAACTGCTGCCACAGAGGTTCTTACAGTAAAATCTCAGCTCTTCCTCACCCCAGTGTTGGAGGCACAAGGAAATGCAGGCACGTACTAGTTATAGAGACAGAGAGTCATGGCAGAACTGGGAACTTTCTGGTAACAAGCGCTGCTGGACAAACGAGACTTTCCTGTAAGCATTTGCAAAGCTGTAGTCGCACGCGCAAAAGGTGACCGCGGTGCCACTGTGTCGATCTACAGAAAAGTGGAACGTGCCGACATCTGGAAGTGGAGCCAAGCGTGACATTTTCAACAGCCCTGAAACCAAATTCTAGTGAAGAAACATTCTGAATAACATAACAAGCCACAGAAGCCTTTTGAAATGAATTGCTAATGCAGAGCAGATTTTTTTCCACAGGTTATAAATACAACCGTCAATG